AGGTGATAAATTATAAAAATTAAGAAAAAGAGAATTTCGCATAATCAAAGAAAGATTATCGAATTAGAGAAACTTATGTTACTACGGTAACAACATTACTAAAGAATTCTGTCAATATTATACAGGGAATCCGTAATTCTTTAGATACAATCTGACTTAATTATCAAAATGCATACCAAGATATAGATGATGTCATAGACCAACAAGATGACAGAGATAATCAGATAGTCCAGCTACAGCAGAAGGTTAATAGTTATAGACAACGAAATACCACTTTACAAGATCAAGTTAATTAGCTTACATTAGAGCATGACAATTCTTGGAATGATCTTATTTTAATGACTATAGCTTATAATAATGAACAGGGGGAACGTCGTCGCTGGTGGGGGATTGCTCAGAAATTAGAAAATGGGATGCAAAAACGTATAGACACTTTATTGCTTGATAAGTTTGCACTCAAATTTAAAATTCGGCAGTGTCAGACACATGGAAGAGAATTACAGCAAAAATATGATATGCGAGGACGTTTGTGGCATAATGCAAGTTTAGCATGAAAAGAGCAGTATAAACTAAAATAACGCACCCTTGAAATTCGTTATAAGGTATCTATTCATTGATTAGAACAGGAGTTACGAAAATGCCTGGCTAATAAAGGATTATTAGAATATAATCAAGATCAGCTCTTTGATAGATATTACAACAAATTTAAGGACCGAAAGGCAAGCCATATCAAGTGGAAAAATAGGGAGCGCAACTCACAGCAATTAATTTTGAATTTGAATTAGCAAATATTTGCACTTCAGAATAATCCACCTATAAATAATTAACATACAGGAATGGCAGGATACGCACCCCCAAATTTTCATGGATATCCTGATGAAGATTCAGAAAAATTTATCGACTCTTGGAGAGCATATCTCATGGCTGCCAGAATTGATGTGAATGCTGGACATGCTGATAGAGTTTGAGCACATGGTCTTTTTGAAACATGTCTCAAAGGTGATGCTAAGAATTGGTATGAAAGATCTCTTCGAAGGAAAAACTGGGAATTGAGAAATTTACTTGATAATACAGCACAGGCTACTTTAGCTCTTGTTCAAGGATGAACGGCAGTGCAAATTGATGCAAATGCAAGACATGGTGCTATAGGTCAGGCTGGAAATGTTCTTATTCCAGCTCATATAGTATTTGATGAAGACTGGACTTTTGCTGATGGTCGTCCAACTGATCATATAATAAATCTACCAAATGCCAACATTGGTCAATCTGTAGTTGCAGATGGAATTCGACTTGGTCAGGCAATATACTGGCTCAAGACTAACTATCCAACAGTTACAGCTAAGAAACAGCGAATGATCTTTGGATCAGCAGTTCAAGGTAGCGATCCTGTTGGTCATTTCTATTCCAAGTTACGTAAACTTGCTAGACTTGCTGGTATTGATGAACAACAAATTTGATTACAGTTTCTTTGTAGTATCTCCTCTGATAATCAATTAGAAATTCGACGTATTGGAATTAATAGGCCTATATCTGAATTGCTCACAGAACTCGAAGAAATTGAAAGATATAAGATCGAGCAATTATCTGAAGCATATCTACATCCAACCTTAGATTCAGTATCAACAACTAAAGCCCGTGGAAAGAATAATTACTCAAGCAATACAAATATGAGTAAAGATGAAATAGAAAGCTTTGTAAAATCTATTATAGCTTTTACACAATCTATCTCTTCTAAACCTCAGGAAGAATAGTCTAATCAAATCACGCTTTCACAAAATGATTTCAAAAAAATTATAGCTGGTTTGAAGGGAACTATTGCTAAAGGA